GTCTCTCTGCCTCTTTCCCTCCCCCTTCATTCCATCCCCATAGATTCTCCGCTTTTTATTTTTCATTCTAACTGTTCTGCTTAATTTACTCCATCATGAATGGGCCTCTATATGGTAATGATAAATTATTTACTCTATAAAATGTAAACAAGGCTGTTTTCCACTTCTGTTTTGAAAGATGAAACTAAGTGTCGCCTTCTTTATATAACCACAGTGAAATTTTATGCAGTTGTATCTAGCTATGTGGTTGATAAAGTTTCCCTTTTATGATCTTTCTCTGCCCCGAGTCTTCTCTATTCAAGTCAAAATGATGTCGATGAATTCACCGGCTTCTGCTCCTCGGTTACAGAATCACAGACAGCAGAGGTTCTGGGGGTGGAGTGGGAGAGGAAGGATGACTCACTTCTGCAGGTGGGCAGCATGTCGCTCCATTGACCACTGGCCAGGCATTGGGACCTGGCGGGCCCCTCAGCCACATACCCAGGGTTGCAAACAAACTTGACCACATCGTTGAGGTTAAACTGATTGCCCTGAGTGAGGCCATTGACAGGGTTGCCTGGGTGTCCACAGGTGATTGCTGTAATCAAAACAGAAAATAGGTAAGCCCTCCTATTATTCCACATCCAAAAAAGGTCAACCTCTTCTCACCTGGCATTTCTCATGCATTATCAGGGAAATTCAGCCCTAAGTCTAATTTCAGTCTCTTATGCTGCAAAGGCCTTTATTTCCTGGCATCGTCGTGGGGATAGTGCACCTTCCTTGAAGGCATGTCCATAGCATGGACAACTCCAGAGAAATCATTCTATGACTTCCCATGGGGCTTTACCGGCCTGGGCTGTAGTTCTCTCTGGTTCAGGTAGTCAGTCCTGCCTTATTTCCTCTGCCTCTGATCCCCTCAGCCTCCCATCTTCATTCATCATTGCTAGATATACTGATGACCATCCATCAGCTGATTCAGACCCATCTTAGCTCCTGGGCCAATCTTGACAGAGCCGGAGTCAACATAAACCAAGGTGTACAGAGAGGTCCACCACCCTGCAGAGCAGTAGCCCAGGCAAACTGCAGGGAAACAGAGCTGCTGTTAGGAAAGGCCCCTGACTCCTTCCTTGTGAAGGGAGCTCCATTAGTGTAGGGCCTGGACTCTCTGTGCTCTTTTACTTACTCTGCCCCAGGAAATGTGGAGTGACTGATCTGCACAATTTGGGAAGAATGAGCCACCACGCTTGGCTCAGCTCTGCCATCTTTCTCTTGGGACCTAGCTGCCTGCAGAGAGCACATGTTCTCCTCCACTCTTCTTGAGGCAGGCTCTCCCCAACAGTGCAGGGATGCCTGCCCCAGTGTACTGTGACCTGATCAGGTGGGTGAATCTACCCCATTCTGGGGTTTATTTAAGGGGCCTCATTTGACCCTCACATTAAGCTACATTTTCCATCTTAACTTTCATCAGCTCTAGCTATTTGTTGAGAATATAGGCAGAGGTGGTGGAGTATGGGTCTTCAGAATAGAAGTGAAATTGTGAAATAACTGTGTGGGAACAGAAAGGGAGATGACTGAGGACGTGTAGAAAGAGAGTTGGAAAGTTTTGAGAGTCTGGTTGGTATTAGAAAACTTGAATTTGTATGTGATGGTAGCTAATGTAGTGCCAAGAATAGAGCAAATAGTTATAAAGATTTGTTCCTTCTACTCTTGCCTTCCTTTTTCCAGATCCCCAAAATAGCTGTGCTCCACAAGAGAACGAGGCTTGTAATCTGACAAGTGGTGGCATCATCACCACCACCACCACAACAACAAAACCAGCAGCTGCTTAACATCTGTACCAGGCACTCTGTTAAATATTTACATCTGTGAAGCTATTTAATACTCACAATAATCTTTGAGATATCTGCTTTTTATAGATAATGAAACTGGGACCTAGAGAGGTAACTTAACATGTCTAAAGTCATATTATATAGTTATACTATATATAGTGACAAAGGGGATGTGAACTCAGGCAATCTAGATCCAGGGCATGAGCCCCTAAATATTTTATTATACTGCCTTTCAATAGAGACCAGATATAAAATTGAATGTATTTAGGTCAGGTAGACATTCTCCATTTAGTCCAGACCCCAACATTCCCAACTAGTTATAACCCAAATCTCTTTACACCTTAAGTGTCAATTTCCAGAAGCCATTTGAATTTGCATCATCTGTATGAAACCAGATATGTTTTATTTAGACACACCTGGAAGGGTGACTGAATATAGCTGGATCTTGCTTTTCATAAAGCTAATACTTAAGAAGTTATTAAGACTAATTTTTCCATGCAATACTTATGTTTAAAATTGTGGTAAATATGTAGGTAACAAAACATTTGCCATTTCAACAGTCATGCTTTGCTTATTGAGTAAGTTTTATTACTTTATTGCCCTGTCTCATATATTAAAAGCCAAACTAAGGAGAAAAATTAAAAACAAAAACCTGCACTTTAAAAGTTCACTTTAGGGAACTTTCAAAAGTGAAGAACTTTCCAAATAACTTCCAGGCAGCTGAGGATAATAGTGGCCACTCACATTTAAAATATCAGATTAATAAGACGAACAATAAAAACCATAGAGAACCCAGACTTGCAGAACAACTAGAAAACAGAGAAAGCTACAAATTGAAAATACCCTGTAAGTAGGAAAATAAACACTAAACTTGGACAGAACTATCTCTTATGCTCCTATTGCAAGTCTTTTTGGAAAGCAAGAGTATATAAAAAACCTTTATGGAAAAGAGAAGTGAGGAACAGATGAAAGGCTTAAGATTGATCTAAAATCACTGTTAGAAAGAGAAAATCCACCTTGAATGTAAAAATATTGAAAGAGAATCCTGGTGTGTTAGTGAACAGACTACAGGCAAGGGACTTAAAAGTGTGTGTGATTCCTCTCCATGTCTTCTGGAGGAAACATATTAAAAAGAAAGAAAGAAAGATGGGAGGAAGAAAGAAAGGAAGGAAAGAAGGAAGGAATAAGAGGTATGCTTTTCCGATTGGGTAGTAAAGGGAAAAAGAAGCAAAGTTGGGGGACTGGTGGCAAAATTTAGGAATCTGCAAGACAAAAGAGAAACAAGCAAAAAAAAGCATTGGAGGACACACATTTTTTCCTTATCACACACACACAAGCTTCTGTCAAAATACAAAACAATACAAAGCAAAAACACTGTACTTTGCTACACTGACTGAAGAGGGTGCTCTTGTAAATAACCCTAAATCCACAAAATGAATAGAAAATATCAGCCTACATCTATAAAAAGCTGCTATAAGAAAACAGAAAACAATAAAAACATCTCAGCTCAGCTGATGAAAATCCCACTGAACAAAACAAAATACACAAAGCAGAAGAAAACTGTAATAGTACTCTAAACTGAATTAGATATTCTCAAATAAGCATTTGGGGGATATGAAT